TGGGCCTCAGGTGCGTCAGGTGCATCCGTCTTTTTCGTCCTCCGTACTGATACTGGGTCGCAAGATCCGCAAGATCTGTGAATGCAACCGTATTGTTCTGCCAGTGCCCTCTCGTTTGGCCCAGACCCTGTGTTTTTGGAAGAACCATGTTTCTATCATCGAGTTGTTTTATAGTTCAACGCCAAAGGTTGGGACAGCTTGTGCAAGTCTATGCCTCTGCCAGAAAGCTTCCAACAGATACAAACAGGTGCTTCGCCCTGGGATTTTCAGGGCGCACGTGTCACCAAACACCAGAGGTCTCATAGGGTCCGAGCACAGGCAGCTCGGTCCTTCGTCTTCTTCGGTTTTCGGCCCTACTCCGAAGCCTTTTTGCCTCCAATGTCCCAGAACAACGCCTGTTCGGCCCTACTGCGACAATTGCGGTGGGTGGTGTGGCGTCATTTGAAGATGGATCGTAGGAAGAAACCTAGGTGCTTTCCGGCCGGAAAACCCCCACAGTGTGCGAATCTTGCACTGGGCGACTTTCTTACACACGTGTCAATTGCAGCAAGGATACATTTTGCGCGCATGGAGGCTGCCAACTCAGAACTCAGAAGAGAATAAGAATACCATGAATGTATATCAATCATAATGTTCAATGATCTATCCTAGACTGGATAGAATCTTAGATGTCGTGCGGCGAATTGAAACACCTTCTTTAATTGAGTGGAAAGGACTCAGAGAAAGATCTACGCACAAACTTTGAAATGGTCATGGTTACGTGGAGAGAAAGCCACATGGCATTTTCGGATTTCGGGGTCATCCGGGGATCCATGTCATCCACGTAGCCATGATTTCAAGGAGTTGGGAAGCGGACAAAAAATCCACCAGGCAGACCGGCAGGCCTGCCGACCGCGCGCCTAGCCTTGTGCCACTGTGGAGGGTTCTTGTGGGCTATTTGCTCAAGGAGTTGCAGAGCCATCTCGGGATCTCTCGGGAGCCCGCATGCGTGAGGACTCCGAAGAGATGTTGCATTTGATGTGCGAGACCGTTGAAGTACTTTGCAAAGAACAGATTCAAGTTACTGTAAGTTTGATATATTATATATAATAGACAGTCATGGTAATTATAGCTTCTATATTTGCTACTGTTTCTACTCCATTCTACTCCATAATCGTTGTTGCCTTACTTGGACCATGGTTAGGCAAATTTCCCTACGGCCCTACGGCCGGTGAACTTATTCTTCATTGGGAAGATGTTTTACGTAAAACACTCCCGGAGAAAAAGCCATATCCCGTATACCAAGACATGGCAAAACGTTCACCCCAAAAAGAGACACCTCCCAAGCCAGGAGTCACAATGTCGCATGTCGGTGGTATGACTCGTCTTATCGCAGTGGATGGTCGGGGCACCGACGACCTCCTTCCTCGGTTCGTTCGTCGCCCCGAGCGACATGCGACTCCTGGCTTTCTAACTCGTTGCATGCATTCTCTTCGGGTCAACCGGGTCAGGTCCGGTCTCCCCGGCCGGGGCCCTGCTGACAGAGCCGCGGACTGGAACTAGCCTTTTGAACCACGGCCCAGCAACCCCAAAACCGAGATCTTTCACGTCATAGACCAGACAAGCAGCATCAAACAGCTACTCAAACAGCTCACTGACAGGTGTCACGGGAAGCATAGCTCAGTGGTCAGAACTTCAAGCAGGCTGTTGACCCAGCAGTTTGTTTATTGGGTTTGAAAAGTTCGTGTGGTGCTCCAGTGTTTGGGGTGCTCGCATGTGCTCGCTTCAATGGTTTCCCCAGGGCTGCGACCTGCGTTCGCCGTGACTCAGTGCAATGTGCCCCAAGCAAAACATCCCGTTCGCGGGAGCTCAAAAAGGAGAGAGACAGAGACAGCGCGAGAACAACAGCGAGGGCGAACGCACGGGAACACCACACAGATGAAAAGGTAGCTCAGAAAAGCTAAGAGGCCAACATAGGCCAACGATTTTTTCCAACAAAGCGGTTTCCTCGAACAAACAAGCAATAGGATCAACCGCAGAAGTCAAGACTTCAACCAAGTATTAGAGTCCAAGTAGTAATTACAACGCGTCGTCTACGACCAAAGAATGGTGCCAACACTGGGTGGTTCTTCAACGAGAAGAAAGTGTCAGACAAACGTATACACTGTCCCTAGGGCTCCAGTCGTACCTTCTCAGAAGGTGGGACTGGGGTGGGTTCAGAGGGTCCAGATACCTTCTGAGGAGGTACTTGGAGCCCTAGCGTGTAGCAAAACCAACACAAGAGACAAAACACGTGGGACCCCGTCCGACAGTCGAACCGAAAACCTGGGAAGATCGTGTGTCAACGAAGCACCCACCAACACGGGACTTGTTCAAAGGTTAACGCAACACGAACCGAAGACATGAGCATAAGAACATTCACCAGACTTCTAGAGTATAGAAAAACAGTGATGGCTGCCAAGTATATATATATATATACACACACCATGCAACATGTACTAACATGTACTGACAATAGATAGGGGCTGGTTTTCTGCCCCAGCTAGCACGCACCATCATGGGCGGTTGGAGCCGTGTAAGGCTAGATTTCAAAGTCAAGCTTGGCTTTTTTGCTGACAAAGACTGATCATTGAGAGCAAAAGTCCGTCGTCGGCGGGTGTTGGTGGGGGGTTTGGAGGTGGTGCCGCAAAGCCAACAGCTTGACGATATGCAAGGGAGGGAGAGAGATCATTCAGGGTGGGAGATGGGTTCGCTACTGACCTACTGAGGGAGGTTGGGGGGGGCATCCTTGAATCCTTGCTCCCAGAATGGAGCTTTCAGATTGAACACGTAGGAACCATGGTTCATCCTTTGACTAGTCAAGACCTGCGTCCCACCCTTCCACTCATGGCGAGCGATTCGCCCATCATCATGACACCCCGAGGAAAACTTAACATGGAACCTGAACCAGTAAAACACATATATATATATATATATGCTAAAAATATGTTGCTTTGGATATAGATATTGTGATGAGTTGTGATATGATCCCCAGGGCTTCTGTCCCATATCCTGAGGTGACTGGTGGTAATCGACCCCCCCATGGCACCCACCCCTGGCCCATCGAAACGAAACGGAGGTGGGCCAGGAGCCCCACCGGGGATAGATGTTGCAACCGGCCGGGCCTTTGGAAGACGATTCTCCTCGGCTCTTCTACCGGGCGTGGAAGACATAGACCCAGACGCGACCCAGACGCGACTGCCAGTCCGGAATGCCGAGAAACGGCCAGGGGTGCCAGGGGAGTTGGTCTGGGGCGGCAGTCCGTCCTGGCAGTCCCATGGAGTGTAGACTCTTGATGAGGAAACCCTCCACTTGAAGAGGATGTCCAATTCAATCGAGGGAGGTTTATTACTTAATCAAGAGTCTACACTCTTGACCCACCTTGCCCTGGCATTGTGGGATATGACTAGCTTCCTGACCCACCTTGGGATGGGTTTGCGGGAGACTTTACGACGCCGCGCGCGCGCGCGCAACGCGTGGGAACCGCGTCACGGCGCTAAGGAGGACGCAGCGGAAACAGAGCCGCGGTCGCCCATGAACCTACCAGGGGTGAATCCCGAAAGGATGGAAAGCTGCTGGGACAGACCAGAATGGAGGGTTTCTTGGGGATTCTGGGTCTAGTAGCAGGTGCTTTGGTACCAAGCGCTGTGAACATGGTGCTGAAGCAAGAAGCTATGCAAGCAAGAGTGGATGAGCAAAATTACCTTCCAAAACTGGTGGGTGGCTTCAACATGTAGCAACCCTTTTGAAACCAACAGCCAAGAACTGTTATCTTCCTTGAGCCTCCAACGCTGTTTCTCGGCCTTGCTCTCTCAGCCACTGCCTCTTCAAAGCTTCCCACCTTTCATGCCCCATCCTTCGCACCGTGTCTCCTTCCCCCCCAAAACCAAAGAAAAAACACCACACCAGAAACACCACAGTAACCAGGCGAACGATCCAGTCCACCCTTGGGCTTCCAACCCCTCACCCCTCAACGTGACCTCCGTCCGACCGATCGATCGGCTGAGATCATTTCTTCAACTCCGTGGCCGTGTTACTCTCGCAATTGGCGCGGAACGTGGTCGAGCAGAGCCTGGAGGTCGCGGAACGTGTGTGTGTATGTGTGTGCATGTGTTGGGGTGCCAAAGCCCTGCAGGTGCAGGTGGAACAGTTCTTTGGACCTATACCCGCTGCGGGGGGTAGAAAAAACAGACAGTACAACTTAAGGCTTAAGGGTTCCTGGCTGAACAAATATCCATGCGAATAGACTCGACCATGCAATGTCATGTCCATGTGTATTAATACTAAGTCCCTAGATTAGGAGCAAGGACGCGGCCATCGAATGAGGTTTTGTCACCGGCCGCGGTCCATCTCCCGATGCGCAGAGCGCAGAAGCAATGGATGGCCGGCCCGCTCCACTCGACCACCCCGCCAGGAGTATGTGATGCTCTTCCGGCGCTTCGAAGCAGAGCCACTCCACTATTCACAGGTCAAGGCGCTCACCATCCAGGCAAGGAGTTCGATTTGAGCCGGCGCAAGGACTGATCGGCCGGTGCCTCGCAGGTGTGTTGATGTTATTTCCCTACACCGACCCGTCGTACCTCCGAAGCGGTTCGGTATGACTGGACCCGAACATGGCGCCCACCCCAAACACCTTCTCAGAAGGTACGACTGGAGGCCTAGGGTTTGTTTTCTACATGCCAATTTGTCTTGCACGCAAGCTGCTTCTTGGGGGCGTTGGGGAGCATTGGCAGCCATGGAGAGGGGGTGGAAGCTCTTTTGGTGCTTCCGGTGCATCGGGGTGGCAATTTCAACATGGAGGTCATCTCCCTAGGACGGGTGCGGTTGAAATGATTCAACCTAATCCCTTCAAACCGATCAGGAACCCCACGGGCACGATTCTTTTTCGGGATCAAGTGTTCAATGAGGTATATATACTCGAGATAAAGCTTCCCACCACTCACTCCCCTTTAGGCCCATTCTATAGGCCCCCCATCCATGGCATGGACCCCAGACACGCGGAGCCACTGCGTCAGGATCCCTGGCAGTGCGACCTGCTGGTGAATAAACTTCAAATCCAGGCCACTGAGGTCCGCTTCAAGCATGAGACCGACTTTGTGAAAGCCAGGCGAGTCAGCTGATGGACAAGTTGAGTCCATATCGAACACGAAGAATAAGAGGTTGGCAGTTGGCAGCTCCACGCTTCTCAGAGGGTGAGAGAATCCTTGGGTTGCTGAGCACTGGTGCCAGCAGATTGGAAAGTGGTGTCTGGAGATTCACTAGTTGTGTTTTTTCTCACGGGCTGGGGCGGTGGGCTGTGTGTAAGCATGTCAAGAAGTGCGCCTTCCCCCTTTTCCGCACTTCTCAGCTATCCCAGAGATGTCCTACCCCTTCAGTGACTGAACTTCCCACTTCATCACTTGGCGCAGCCAGCCTGGCTGCGCGCGAAAAAACCCCCGCGCAAAACCCGAGGCTTCTGCAGCCCTACCGGGATTGCACCACCTGCTTGCGAGAGCTCCCGCGGCCAGACACCAAGCTCAAAGAGACGGTCTCCTGGGCACGAATCGGATGGGAGCGGGTGGGGACAGCGGTGGGGGACAGCGGTGGACGAGGCCCAAGCGATGAAACAGCAAACAGTTTGGGGGTGAGCACCCGTGTCTATCCAGTTTGGGGGTGGGGTGAGTGATGGTGAGTGGTCATCACAGCCACTGGCAATTGAAAAGAGAAGATCGGCAGCAAGAGCTATAGAGCAACTGCGTCCAGTGAAATGACGACGATGCTGCTGCTGCTGCTGATCATTTGGATGATGACGATCACTTTGATTGTGATGATAATTGATTATCGGAATCAAAAAGCCATTGAAGTGTCAATGAGAAAGGTTCCCAGCTCAGTATAGTTGCAACTGTCAGTTGCACATGCTTAATGCACATGCAAATGAGCAAATTGACGCAAAAATAAGAAGGATCTCATTCAGAAAGACCTTGTGGCAGATACACACATATGGAATGTTTGATATATTTGTTATTATTTGTTATAGTTAATTTGTCATGATGGAGGAATGGTGGGTGATTGTCATTCAGAGGTGTGATGTGGTGGTATGATGTGGTATGTGATGCGGCGAAGTGGGCGATTTGACTCGTGACATGTAGAAAAGGTGATTTGCAACATGAGGCGCAATGTAGAACAGTGAAGTCTAGTGCCAAATTACCGCATACCACATCACTGCTCCTTCACTGAAACCAAAGGCTTTTACCTCACATGTCAAAGAGTCATAGTCATCTTGTTGGACAGTCCAAGACCTCCAGTTTTCCAAATTGAATCTGGCACCCACCGGTCACCAGGAAAACCCGATACTCAATTACATGTCAATCATGCATGTTCTGTGGGCATTGATCGGTACGTGGGCATGCATGTTTGTTCGAATGCATTGATCCCGGGCCCTTGCCCGTTTGGCCGTACCTGTCGGCCCCTTCGTTTCCGCTTCGGTGGGAGGGGTTCGGGGCCCAGAAGGGTCGTCCGACAGACTGCACCAGTATTGGTCCATGGGTTTTGGCTCGGGTCCGATCGCTGGAAAAGCAGGGTAAGCGATAAAGTTCAGGTGAAGTAGATCGTGCATAAGTCGAAAAGGGCCCTTGATGTTTTTTCCAGATTGGCCAACAGCCTGCTCTAGTGATTCCTTTTGTGGATGGATGACCATGAGATCGCACCCACCATAGACTCCCTTGAATCGGAAGTGGAGTGACCAGCACCTGTTCGGTGTGAGGATTTCATGCTCTTCCTGGTTCGGCCATGCCATTCACATAGCACGATGATTCCAGAGGGTGTAGATATGAATGTATATTATATATAGATTGTATTTATTCCAATCGGGGTGGCGATGAGGAGTGCCTCAACCTCGGCAGTAAGATGCACCGGCACCCTGATGCCACAAGGCCAGATGCTCAGTAACGGCATTTGTTCGGACTTTGCACCATCCACCTGGTGGGGTAGGCCGGCAAGTCTGGGCGCGCCGACCGGTTTCCCAAGAAACCGGTCCTTCCAGAGGCCTTGGGAGGCCGTAGCACCGAACCACCGACCGCCAAGCGTAGCACAGCTCCATCCCAACTCAGGTAAGCCGGACACTGCTTTGGCAGGTGAAGGAGGGGCTGGAGATGAGAGTTGTGGGCTGGGCGTGGGATGAGTTGTGCAGAGGATGGCGCTCAGACATGCCATGTGGTGGGATTGGAGAGCTTTCCTATCTCGAGGACGAACGAAAGTTGGCAAAGTCGGCATTTTCTTTTAATATATCAATCCATGCATTTTGGCATGGCAGCGCTCGCAAGGCAAGCTTGTGTTGTCACCTCCGATTTGGGATGGAGTTGTTAGGCTTCTTGTGCTACCCGAACATATGTTTTGCTATGAAAAGCAGGTGCAGCAGGGGGTTCGTTTGATTCTGTCCGGAATTGCTAGCTTTGTCCATGGGCAGACGATTCATGATGATTCATGTGATTCACTGGGCGAGTGTTTGGATACACCCGGGAAGAGGCCCTCATCGAACCGGGCTTGGCATCGACCAGACTGGCAGACAATTTCCGAATACCAACCCATTGTCGCAACCTTTACGCCTTTATCCTCTGTAGTGCGCGACTTACGCAATTGAAGAGTGCTCAGCAATGTGGTCATCATGCAGCTCAGTGCAGCAGGTCCCACCCTCAACCACGACCTGGTTTGGCCAAAACTGGCTCCAAGCAACCTTCCACACAGTGGGGCAGAGCCTGGATCTCAGGAGGAAGAGCTGCACATCAAGGCTGGCTTTGGAACAGTGGAGCAGATCGTCAACATGAACCTGGAGAACATGGCCAAGGCTGCATCCGTTTCATCGCGCGTCAGGTGGTGGAGAAAAAAACACAACATAGGTGTTGTCCGATGCCTTGTAACCGCTTTCACTCACGCTTGCGTACGACAGGGGGGACCTCCCTGGCTCACTTGATTTAGTCTGTTGTTGATGTTCCCCAAGGTCTTTGAAGGGATTGCGCAATCCAGGCTGGAGATCCTGCAAACCAGCCAGCGTGTCGCACGCAAGTCCACGTCAATTTGCCGGAAAACCAAAGGGGTCTCCCTACTTTGATTCGCACCTATACCATCCCATTCCCATCAAAGTCGGATCTTGAAAGTGACGAAGCCTTGAGACTTCAAGACTTACAAGTGATTTGCACCTGTTCTTCTGTGACTCCTCCGATCACAACACAAAAATGATCCACTTTGCCAAAGACCCACATCCTCCGCAAAAATTGGCGCACCGCGAGGTCCTGGAGCTTTACGAGCCCTTCAAGTTCTTGTTGATTGTTGCTTGGCCATGCCATTTCGTGTCCATCACCGATCCAGCACTATGTTTCACCGCCTTAGTAACTGGGGTGTTCAATGGAGAACCTGGATAGTAGTGGGCTGGGGCTTCCACTGGTGAACCCCCTTTGAAGGTGCTAGCATGTTTGGTGGAAGCTCGTCACCGTGCGCGCCGTGCGCAGCGAGTGGTATATCTACGATATTGTTAGCGATGTGCCGGCTGAAAAAGTGTGAAGAGGCACCGGGAAGGTAGGTTGGTGACATGACCTTGCTTAGATGTGCTGAGAAGCTCAGGGTTGGTGCAACTGGCACGAGAAAACTCCATTCTGCGAGCGGGTTTGATTCTGCCAGTGCTGCTGACTGGGGAGTTGTTTTGGATTGTTTTGGGGTCCGAGGTGCTAGAATTGATGAGTGAAGTCGGTGCTAACGGCTTTACGTTTCTTCAAAGCCATAGCAGTTGAGTTGAGGAGAGCCATTGGCGTTGGCATGGCTACCCACAGACCACGCCAAAAACACGGGGCTCATGACCAGATCAACTGCATGTCACAAGTGCTCCAAAAGCCACAAGACCTGAGGAGGAAGAGCGCACCACAAGCTTCTTCGAGGATCAATCCAATACGCGGGAGACCTTTGCCGCATATCTTCATCACCTGAGGCGCGGCAACCAGAGGCCGCTGGTTCCTGCTCCCCACTAAGCCATACTAAGCCGGTGACCTAACAAAGGTTTTTAGATGCTCGCCCAGCAAGGAAGTATATAGTTGAGTCGTTAGTCATACCGAGTCATACCCCACACCATCCCACACCCTTCAAATCAAAAGACATCCCAGTCCCTGAAACAAACATGGTGGCCGTGGATGGCAAACGACCCTGAGTTCGGATGACGAAATCTCTACCTGCCTCGACCAAACAGGTGGTGAACTCACTCCCTCCACTTCCATGAGGATTTCAGGGAGTTTTGGATGGCCCTGCCATGCTGTGCCTTTATGTTGGGCCCATGAGAGTTTGGGAATTTGTTGGATGGGCTCGACTGGCCGACTGGACACTGACAAGGTTGAATAAAGCGATCATCCACCATCATCCACCTCTATATCTTCCAGATTGCTTCAGACAGAGGTGCTTCACCTCTTGCGCCCATCCATACATATCCAGTGAAGTGCGATGGTTCTTGCTAATTCTGTGTTTTTGTATCGGTGGCTCGTGGAAAGAATCGATTTAGCACCATCCATCATACCCGTTTGGCCTCCAGTCGTACCTTCGTTTCGAAGGTGGGACTGGGGGCCCGAGTGCCATCTTCGGGTCCTATCCCTACACCTCCAGTCGTACCTCCTCAGGTTGGGTATGACTGGACCATCCTGGCACCCGGGCCCCCAGTCCCACCTTCAAAACGAAGGTCCGGCTGGAGGCCTAGGGTATATACCTTGGCGCCTCGATCACGTCCGCGTGATCCCCCAAGAAGTCTCCAGAGGCTCCTGGCCAGTCACATCTGCATGTCAGGGACACGATCCGCCAGCTGCGAGAGCAGTGTCCCAACATCCTGCAGATGCAGCTCATGCGAGTCGATGCCACCGAGGCTCCTGTTGGGGCGATTTCTGGGCTGAAGGCTGAAAGAGCTCCAGGTGGTGCACATGAAAGAGTAACTGATTGACCTACCTATCCTGGTTTGAAAGCATGGCTTTGGCATGTCTTGGCTTGGTCTTTGAGAATTCGTTTAGGCCCAAACACTCTGCAAACAAAACACACACACACACACACACACATGTGTGTGTTTTTTTTCTGATGCCTTTCTCCGCCGTGAAGCTCGGTAGGACACGCTTGCCGGACCGTTCGGAACGCGTTCCGTGAAGCTCGCGGCAGGTGAACCAAAAGCTGGAGCAATGCGCGGAAGATTGCATCGCCAAGTTGTTGAAGTCCTTAGCCTTGAGAAACCAGGATCGCTCTGCACGTGACTGGGTGAAAGACAAGGAAGTCCGGGATGGCGCTGGGTGAAAGGAGGTTGGCGGGTTCTTGGCTTGCACGCTTTGAAGCCGTGTGCTTCGAAGTACGTATCATTTTGTGGTGGTTCATTTTACTAATCGCAGGGTTGCATCTATTCCTCTGACTTGCGTTAGCTCCTCGCCACCGCATGCGGCGGGCTGGCGGTTTCCCCTGGATATGTTGTTTTCACCTGGAAACGGCTCCCGAAAGGTCCAATCGAAAAAGGTTTTTTGCTACACACCTGGAGCTACGGCAGGTGCAGAGCGCTCGAAACGTGTGCAGGTCCAGTCCTAGGAGCCGAAGGGGTGACCCGTTGCATGGCGCAAGGCGACCGTTCTTTGTACTGCTTGGGACTGCAGGTGATCCGCACAGTCTATCCAACCGGACCGCCGTTTGGGCATGCCCGCACCCATCACCGTCTTAGCCGTGGTTAGCATCGTGGTGTGCACGTGGGATTGACCGCAGCACTGAGGCCTTGTGAAGCAGTTTGAACACCTCAATGGGCGCATCATGCGCCAGCCCGAGAACGAGGTGGCGACCGATGCTCGCAGATCGCGAGACAATGCGTCACTTAGGCTAGCTTCTATCGATTTCCCTCGCGTGAGTTCCACAAGTGCTTGATTTGCTCCAGCCGCATGAAAAAAATAAATTGCACTGCAGCATGAGAAGGAAGACATTCATACGATTCATACGGCATATGGATGGCGTGAGACATAAATTGTAGAAAGACCAATCACTTGATCGACCTCAATCCAAAAACAAAGCAGGAACAGATTCCGATTCCGCTCATTGCCATGCAGGTGTCCAATACTTGGCATGTTTGGTGCACCCAGTGCGCAGGAACAGTTGGTGGAGCTGGAACTGGCTGTGGAAGAGGCGAAGGCCAAGACTTTGCCCAACCTGTTGGAGGAGTACGAGGCGAACCTGGCAAGGGGGTATTGATGTACCCTATGGGTTGTGTGATGTGTTTTGAAGTTCGAGATCTGACTTCAAGCTCCTGTATAACCCAGGAAGTACGTGGATCACACCTTTAAACCTTCTTTTGGGGGATTGGGGATACCCCGAATATGATAGTAGATGATAGTGGCAAAAGGAACCTAATAGGAATGGCCTCCACCCTAATAGCAAGGGCCTCCACCTAGCTGCTTCTAGGTTACTAGTAGCGAACGGAGACCTACTAGAAGCTTCAAAGACCTACTAGCATCTCAAAGCTCCTAGAAAAGGTTAACTTTTTCAAGGGAAACGGCTCCGGACGTCGTTTTCCTCATGATGTGCAGGATGTGACACGTCGGCTTTCGTCGGCTGGGCTCCAGTCGGCCCGCCCCAGTGGCATCTACCCACCCCGACCCCCATCGAACCGAACCGGAAGGTGGGGCGGTTGGAGGCCAAACGGGCTTGTGAACCACTGGTGACCTGCTGTTGTCTATACTTGAATCACTACTTGACTCATATTGAAGGTGCTTTGATATATGCTTTGATGTATTTTGCTTCAGCGCCAGGACATCAAAGCATGGCTGTTCCTCACATGGGATGAGGCCTCGGGGCGAGTTGAAGACGGGATTTGGAAAGAAAAAACGGACCAGGAAATGCACTCAGAATCCGGGCCCTATGGTTTTCAGGCCCTGGCCGTACCCCTGCCTTTCGGTGTCGGGTCCGACCCCATCATGAAGAGCCCAAGGATTCTTAAGGTTATAAAACATTACAATATTATATAAACACTATATATATGATATTATACATTAAAACACATATTTTATGAATATATTGTTATATGAACATTATATGAACGAAATATTTTTTTGGCTGGCATTCTTGAGAGCTGCGCAGATGGACAGCTGCTTGGAGGGGCCCACCCAAAACAGGTCGGGAATGATTGGACGGTCCCAAGCATTGTGGTTCAATTGAACTGGTACCACTTGGTACCACTTGGTTCAATGGAGCAGTTTGATACCCCAGCAATGGTGACCTGGCCCCTTGCCGGTGAACCAACCGGCTAGGGGAGGGTGGTGCCATCGCATCGTCTCACTTCGTTTTGCTTGGTCCTAACGGGCGCCGCACCGGTGGCGCTGGGGGGATGCGCCAACAAGGACCGCCGGGGGCGGTCCTTGTCAGGACCATTTGCTGGTGGAAGAGGACTACAATGCCATTTGGGCTGCTTCCCAGCGGCTTGGACTCGCACGGAGTGGGAAGAGAATCTGTGAATGGAGAGCGTGCGAGGAGAGCGCATGCGAAGAAAAGGGGACAACTGCGCCATTGAGGGGAACTGTTCGGGAACATCAAGGAATGCCATTTTGGACGCAATGCCTGGCAAGAAGCATTGTTTTAAATGGCGTTTGCACACGATCAAAGCTGAACTGGCAATTCGGGTGCACCACAAGCTGCTCTTTGGCTTACATTGTTACGTGTTTTGTAGAGCCGCACCTCCTGACATGATGGAACAAAACGAGGAGAGACATTGAAAAAGAACAACCACAAAAACACCCGGGAAAATAATCCTTCAGCATAGCATATCCCTACACCTCCAGGTAACTACCTCCTCAGGTTCGGTATGACTGGACCCGGTTCCGGTTTTGGCACCCGGGCCACCCCCGACCGTCCCACCGAAACGAAGGTCCGAAGGTCCGGTTCCCCGGGTCGCCCACCGGCTGGTCATTGACTCGACCGTTCGGGCCGTCAACCCCCACCGAGGTGGAAGACGTACGGCGACAGCATCGCCGAGCGCGAGCGTGATCTGGAAATGGATCGCATGAGCATCGAGGGTAAGTTGATCTCCAGAAGAACGGATGTGACCGAGGAGTCTCGGATGGTGTGAGGATTCGGATGATGCGACGTGACTGATGATGTGACTGATCAGGTTGTTTGAAGATTCATGAATCTTCAATGATAGTTTCAATTCCCATAGACCTCCAGTCGTACTGTTTGGGGTGGGTTTGGAGGGTCCAGTCATACCGAACCTGAGGAGGTATGACTGGAGGTGTAGGGTTGTATCACGTTTTCTGTATTTTGTTCCCATCTTTGTCGAAGACCTTCGCATCCCAGACACTCCTCTCACACTATGCAGAAAGGCATCGCCCTGGGGCGGTTGATGGGGGGGCGGAAGAGACTCCACACTATCGAGTGTTTGGGTCCCCCAATTGGGCGACCCAGTCGTAGCAAACCGGTTCGCTGGGAACGGGCCCGTGTAGGGGGTATGATGATCCGCATGCTTTAAGTGTTAACGATGGCAGTTTTTGCATGGTGAGCATGGCGAGCCGCTCGATGAATTGAAGATTGCTTTCCGGTACTGGCTGGCTGCTAGGCATCGAGGATTGGAGAGTTGAGGGTCCACAAGGCTCAAGTTGCCCCTCTAAAGAGTTTAATGATTACACCTGGAAGACGATCGAATGGACCCTTCCAGGGGGTCAAACAGTCAGGGTCTATGTGAGTTTTCGGGAGTGTAAATTGAATGGCAAGATCTTCCAATGGTGATGAATGGCAAGATGTTCCAATCCACCACCAATATCTCACCATGTTGAATATCTCACATGGTGTTTAGAATGGCGAGATTGTTCAATCCACTCACCAGGTTGTTGATGAAGAAGCATTAGGCAGTCTCCTATTTTGATGTACCCTGCAAAATCCGGGCCCTCAAACAGATAGGGTTTGGAGGCCCCCAAGCCCTCTATGCCAAGTCCGAACCCTGCCATGTAGTAGAGACATGTTCCAGGAGTCGCAGGTCGGGGTGGTTTTGGGGGTCCCATCCGGGCTGTGGATGTGATGGTCGGGGCACCCCGACAACCTAACTTCCATGGATCGCAGCCCGAGCTCCTCCATGACCTGCTGGTTGAGACCAGTTCTCTTGTGACCTGCTGGTTGCGCCCTGGAACGGTTCTTCTATAGCTATATTCCTCATCGTTTGGGGCCTTTAGAAGGGGACGGACTCCGGCGACTTCCGGTGACTTCCGGTGCTCAGGAGTTGACCAACCTCATGAACAGTGTGAACAAGTTCAAAGACAAAGGTCAAGTGCGTTACCTTGAGGACAGGGGGAAGGATTTTGGTGCGTTACCGTAGCTTTCTAGTTGGGGATAACCTGGAGTTGTCTTTTTTGGCTCTCATGCGGATTTTTGGTGGTCTGCAACGTGGCCGGCAAGTGAAACAGAACCCCAGCCCACAACCCCAGCCATGCAACCATCAACCACGGACCGTGCATGAGACCAATTAACTAACCGTCCGTAGAAGTTGCTCAGTCTAAAGGCCCCGGTCCCGAACTGGTTTGGGGGGCTGTGAACATCCCGAACTCGCTGTGAAAAACGTGCACGTTTCGCGGTGCGCGGTAGCTTCACCGTGCTCATCATGGAATGGTTTTAGTTGCCAAGAACTGATTTGATCATATTTGATTCCTATTTTGAAGGGAATATGCATACATTTTTTGAGGGTGATCCAAACGTGAACGTCACTCAGAGCCAGGCGGAGCTGGAGAAAGGGTTTGTTTTCTCACTCTATAGTATTCTATAGTAAGGTTGGAGGCCATCACTATTAGGCTGGAGGCCATTGCTAGTAGGTTGGAGGCCATCGCCATCATATAGCATCTATATAATTATAGTCTATAAATATTTCCAACCGTGGGGGAAACGTAGAGTTGACTGCCGTGTCGACATCAAGACTCCTAGTGTTTCATTTGGCTTCTTACATTTCTTTGTCCCTTCTCAGCCGCCTTCTCTCAACCAAAAACCCTCCCGTTCGGCGGCTTCCATTTGAGATGGCCAGGAATATTTGGATGACCTCAGCAGTATCAAAAAGAATTTGGCATCACTCCAGGCTCTTTTGCTGCACGATTTTCCTGAAGAGGTCCAGCAGTTCGACTGGGTCTCTTCTTGAAACTGTTGAAATCACCACATCATCATCCCAGTGATCTACAGGAAATGAACGCGACGGGCAAATGCCTTCAGTCCGGGAGCTCACATCTCCGCAGGTCTGTAGAACCCACCGAGCTCCCCTAGGATTCAAACAACCATTGTTTTAATGGTCTTTACCAAGGAACCATTGTTTTACGAAGGATTTTTACACTAGATTCAACCGCTCGTTGAATCGTCTTTGAAGGCTAGGGGCTCATGGTCTGGAGCATCGAGGACCAATTCTAAGAAGGCTTTCAGCTTCGTTTCCATCACCATCACCAGATTGTGTAGTTAATTTAAGATTCCTATCCCTATAGGGCTCCAATCGTACCTCCTCAGATGGTATCTGGACCCTCTGAACCCACCCCAGTCCCACCTTCGAAACGAAGGTACGACTGGAGCCCAAATGGGTATGTTTGTTAGACCCTCTCCCACCCCAAACACCTCGCGGGGTTCGAGGAACCTGTCTCACCGCCGGTGGCCCCGTCAGCTCCGTCTGCTGGATCGGGTCGTAGTGCTTGTTGAACATGGCGAGCATGCTGGAACATGGGGCTGGAACATGATGGCTTACAACACGCTGAGCGACAAAAATCAATCAAAAGGGTAAAACACGTCTGTAAATGTTCGTTCGCACATATTTATTTCACTCTTCCTGTCATTCACAATCCCTACACCTCCAGTCGTACCTCCTTCGAAGGTATATGACTGGACCCTCCTGGCACCCACCCCCAGTCCCACCGAAACGAAGGTACGACTGGAGGCCAAACGGGAATATGTTGTTGGTATTTTCCAACCAGCTCCAGACCTCATTTGACCCAGCTGGTCGCGAGCGAGATGTTGGAAGGCGCCCAAACCTGGTTCCTGGAAGCCGTTGTCCCGACCGAGGCGCGGTGTGAGCGAATCCAGTACGAGGAGGAGCTGGTGGGTTGGGAACCTGGTGAGTTTGAGCTCAACGAGGCCCATAGCGCGGTGGAGCCCTATGAGCCTCGCGAACGAGAGATGGAGCAATCGGGAGACGTTGTTTTGGGCAAAAGCTGGAAGAAAGGGGGGCAGAAGAGAGGGTGAACTGGAGCGGAAGGGTGCTTTTTGGGGTTGTCAGGTGGGGGCGGAGTAAGCAAGTTTTGAATACCAGAGCCCCCTAAGGCTATTCAGGGGTGTCCAATTTATAGCTCCTTAAAGGTGATTCGGGATGTCCATGAAAACCACCCCTTAGCTTAGCGGGCCCTGGTAGTTTTGATGTCTTTTTGGGGTTGGCGGTGGGGCGGAGACGGAGACTTGCTAGCGTTATCCGTATGTCGAGTCAGTTGACAGGATCGGACAGAAAGGAAGGGACAGCTGGCAATTGCCATTCAAACAACGGCTAGGCTCGAGATTCACCAATTCCTAGACTAGAGAGGGAAGAGGTTCTGACCAATTCTTTCAGTCAAGCTGGATTGAAGTGATTGAACTTGATCCCTTCGAAGTTGCCTTTGCTCGGCTGAACGCATCCAGCCGTGATGCGTGACACCTGTGTCATGTTGGCCGCTATTGAAAAGACCTTCCAAGATGGGGTATTTCGCCACATGTGGTAGCAACAGAGGTTGAAGAACCCCCTGACTCGACTATCCAGCTACCAAAGCTACCCCGGGTGACGGGTCCTATTCACTGGCTACCTCTGGTCGTCACCACCAAGTCTTGTGGGAGATGGTGGTTCGAGTCTTGCCGGTCACATCTCAGGACAAGCTATGGACTTTGGTCTATGAGCACCAGAAGGTGCGCGGACCGCGCGTGCGGTCGGAGCGGTCGGCGCTTCGGGAACACATGGGCAAGGCAAAGCAAGTCATTGCAGAAAGCATGTTTGGGGAGATCCTCATGTGACTTATGAATCATGAAGCTTTGATGCACAATATGATATGAACGACAGTATGAATGACAAGAAATGGCTCATACGTGCCCATGTTCATCATGAGGCCCTGAGCATCCCAGCGCACTGAAACCAGAGGTTTGTGTATGGATACACAGCCGGATTCTACATCCTGAGGTCTCGGGCCAGGGTTCTGGAGTCTGAAGAACATCTCCGCAAATGACCACATGGAAGCCCAAAACCACATGGGCTTCCCAGACCTCTTCGGAACCTCTTCGGACAACCACAGGTCCCATTTGAAGGGTCCATGGGATCGCTTTGGGCTTTTTTACTAGAGCTGTGAAGGAGTCTTTTTGTCACCACTTGATGACTCCATTCACCTCCACACCGGGTCCATAGTTGGCATATGGATTCAGCATGCCTTTCAGGACCTGCTTCCTTCGGGAAAGAACCGAACTCAGGTCACACTGACGACAGCACCGGCTCGCGGTCGTGGGTACATGTGGCTGCAAAGGAAGGCGCTCAGGTCCGGTGCGATGGATTGCACCAGCGATGAATAGAGGTGTTGGTTGATGAATAGAGGGGATGCCACCAAGTACCAGGACCTTCAGTTCGTGACCTCTTTGGAGTCTCTGTTTGTGACAGAAGAAACAGACCTAAGTGACCTCATCCTGGGGTCACTTTGAAGGTCCTGGTATGTATTTTTAAGATATATTCGACCAAGAATGTGGTATTTGGGCACTGCAAACCACCCTAGATTCTTCTCAAGCGCGCACATCATGGATCGGGAATGATTTCATTGGTATCCATGGACATCTCCCTTCAATCAGCTATAATTAAAGTTGAAGTCTGACGAAGTCTGATGTTCATCTCCAAGCCATTCACACATGTTCACCCCCCTTACATATCCCCCTACATACCCCCACCACATACATCTATCCCCCACCCCTTACCATACCTCCACATGACCCCCTACCACCGAGTCTCCTCTCCCCGTCTCGGCACTCAGGCGAGCCAGCGCTGGACACGAAGCCCCCTCTTCTCGGGCGAGCTGAAGCCAGAGGCGGGACACCGAACACCGACCGGGTCCCGGGCCTCCCGCGCATCCCGCGCGGAACCGCTGCAGACCGCGGAATCCGGCGGATTCGGACGTGGGGTGTGCCGGCGATGGGGCGAGGGAAGGGAAGTGGTTCGAAAGGCGAGGCGGGAAGTGTCGGGTGGTGTTTGGTTTGGTTGTTTTGTTTTGGTGGTGCTACGGCATTTGGTGTGTTTGCTTGATTTTTGGGGTGGGCTAAGCTCTAAAGTAATTTTGCTTGGTTGTATTGTTTGATATGTGCTTTCGTTGAAGTTAACCCCTGCCTGCAGCGTCCTGCAGCATGAGCAGTCTCCGGCCAGTAGTTTTGTAAGTCCAGTTGCCCGCCAGTAGTTTTGCATCTTGTGATTCTCAGTGTAGCAACCCAATCGGTGTCGCAAAACACAATCCTGACGGACGTTATTTGGCTGGCTTTTCCTGTTTTTTTTTCAGATAGAGACATCGTGATCTCTGCATCCGTCATGTACAAAACATGGTTCATCTTCCAAACACTCCATGTATATATATATATGCCTACATTGACCCCCAAAACCACCACAATATAGGTATATATGGCAGTCCCATGGAGTCTCTGGGTCACGGTTCCCTTCCACTTCTTCCGGTCGATGTCAACACGTCGCCTCTCCACGCTCCGCCCACTTGCCCGGTTACGCCTCGTTCCGCCGGCATCGCCGATCCGATCCGATCCGATCCGAAAGGCCTCGAAACGCAGCGTGCACGCGGTGCTCGGCGCCCTAGGAGATCGAGTCCGAAGTCATGAACATGCACCGAGCTCAGCCGAACTCAGCCGGGAGAATCGCGCGAAGACGCGCTCCTGCTGTGCGCGCCAGCGAACGCGAGTCTAAGCGAGTCTTCGCGCATCGGACGAGCCGTGGAAGGGAAGTTGGTGACCCCCCCCCCTCCCAGATGTGCGAGGTGTTTTCTTTCTTCCCGGCCTCCAAACTGGGCGGGGCTGGTGGACAGATTTCGTGGAATCCACGTGGCAAAACAGGAGACTCAGACGGATTCCACATGGTGTGAGGTTGGCAAGTTTGATGGATTTAGTTCCTAGATTCCTATATTTTTGGGGAATTTTTCACACTTGGAGAACCATTGAGAACAACTTCAATCCCCAGGACCCATGGGGACGACGTGTGTTTGCGGAGCGACAGGACCCTCCGGTCGCTTCGTGTTACACGAAGCGACCGACGTCAGATGGAAGTGGATGGAAAACGGCCAGTTCGGGACGACCATGTTCCGAATACCACTGCAGGTGTTCCAAATCGGACATGGGTTCGTTTGGTTCGAGCCGAGTGGAACGCCTTGTATACGTTTTTCATGAGTCTCCTCATGTTTCCTCCAAAAGGGGTCTGATTTTGGGGTGCTTCTTCGACACGTTCTCAGCCTCCCGGCGACCTGGCGAGCTTCGGTCGATGGTCGACGGTCGCTTGGGTGACACAGTCGTGCCGTTGGTTCTCCTTCGCAGCGATCGATGTGAGAAGGTCCAAGAAGTCGATTCTCGTTGGCCACCGAGTTCCGTAGAGCAGCTGCAGCAAAAAGCATATATATCCGCTTTAGCAGCGGAAGTCGACGCGTCCGATGCGTCCGATGCTTGGAATCCTGGAATTTTGGAGTCCGACTGAGGTGGCGGCTGTCCTTTAAGCTCAAAGCCACCTTTGAACAGGACAAGCTCACCAAGCCAGCCAAGGCGCCCAAGAACACCTCGTGTGGCAAGAACTCCTCGCGAAGCCGTTTGAGGTTGTGGCGCCTTTTGTTGACACGGGGGAAATTACCCGCCAGCCGTTGGAGGCTTTTTTGAGCTCCAACGTTGTTCCATGTTTTCCTTTGCTATGAGGAATTGTCCGAACATATGCACCAACCAACAGGAAGAACTGCTTGCAACCCCACAGCAATCCACCCTAACCAGAAAAAACACATGGAAAAGAATGCTTCAGCTGATGCCTGTTTCGGTGCATTTTGCTATGGAAAAGGATAACTATGACCATGTTCCTCTACAAGGGGTTTTGGTCCCACCTCCATGATGCTGATTTCAATCAGTCCAGCCTTGCCCTTCAGCTCGCGAACTCTTCCCCAGACCTGGCCCTTTTGCCCTGCCCTGGCGCTTCTGCCCTGGGGCTCCAGTGCTCCCTAAGCGGGACAAGCAACGCGTCGCCTTGCCTTCTGCGGAACCGCCTCGCAGGTGGCGGAAAAGGTGAAGAATGACTTGGATGCCTTCAAGGACTCAGAACAACAACATACAGGGCCATCCGGTGCCCAATGGAAACACACTACTTGGGGATCCCCCAGACAGGACACCCATTGGATGCTGCAGGATTGTTGTTCTATATCCCTAGGGCAGTCCCTAGGGCTTCGCAACACCTTCGTGGTGCGTTCCGTGACGACGTGTTCGCCCGAGCCGCGGCGGGAGATGCGTTGCATGTCCTTTTGGGGGTTCGCGGACTGGACATCAACACGGAGCCTTGCAAACACACCGGTGCACACCCACACCTTATCTCGTGGAGCGATCGGGCTGTTTGTAGAGGGCCCTTCTGTGGGCGCAGAACGGGTTGGCATTTATGGTGTAAAAGGTCCCGTTACAATGAGGGGTGCCCATTATCCACTCACTTAGAGACCAAACACCGACATGTGACTCCTGGTCTGAACGTTTGTTTCTTCAAGGAAGCTGGGATGGTGCAGCAGCGTAAATACTACTGTCACCGTTGATGGAGGCATCCATTCACCAGCTCGAGCCCTGAAAGCATGGTACAGTAAATGCTAAGGGCTTTGTTTTGTCCCCTTTGTGGAAGTTCTCCCATCCAGGCCAGGGAGTGGTTTGGATAAAGGATCTCACGGGCTACAGCTCCCTTTCTGTTCGAGAGAGCAAGTCCAAGTTGAGCAATTGATACCCGACCTTTCTCCCCCACCGCACTTGCATGGCATCTAGCTAGACTGTTGGCACGCGCTCTTGCAGGAGAACGTACCCCTCTTGCATGCGCTGTGCAACCCCGGGCTTCGGGAGCGACATTGGACAGAGATCTCCAATGTCATTGGCTTTGAGATGGGGCCGGATCCCACACTGACCCTCAACAAGGCGAGACCACGGGCTAGGACCGCGGCTGGGAGGTGAACGATGGAGCCACTCACGGGAGAGGATGGGAAGGAGGTGACCACGGGGAACTGATGAGAACGCCCAGATCAGAGGGGTTGTGGATGGTTGTGGCTTCTATTTTCTCCGGCCAAGTCGATGCATCTCTTTCGCGCGGTTTTTGCGTGTTTTAGAGGTGAGGCATTAGCCTGTTTGTTTTGGTGGGATTCATTGCTTGGAGCTGGTCTGAGGTTGGTGACCCCCAGTGCCAGGCTCCATTTGTTCGACCAAACCTTCAGTGGTTCACTGCACCCTGGGGATCCACCTTCTCAGAAGGCACTTTGGACCCTCCTGGCACCCACCCCAAACACCTTCTGAGAAGGTACGACTGGATCCCTTTGGGGTGCAGTGTTTTATGTCCTGCTTTGGCGCGGAATGATTGATCCCCTTCATTTGCGAGATCTTGCCTCAACCATAGACGACCTTTTACTATTGGTTGGTGACTTGATAGAAGGGATGCCGGGATTGGGATACCCCAAGTGTACAACCAATATAGTAGGATAATATAGGCCGGTATAGAATCTATTATAGAATCTATCTATCAATTATAGTTAACGGACATCATGGGCCTCAACTAAGAAATCCTTTTTTCTGCATTTTCTGAATCCTCCACACTTTTCAGAGCCATGGCTATCATCTTCCAAGCCATGCCCTCCCCATCTTTGTGACCAAAACGGGGTGCCAAGAAGTCGGGTATGCTCCGGATCCACTTTGCTTGCAGTACTTTCAGAGGTCCGATGACACCGTGATGCGCTTGGGGTTTGTCCACCTGGCGTTTGACTCTCTGACTCGATCTTACTCACAAAACGAGGGCACCCAGACCAGACCGTGCAGAGCTGCTAGCTCGCACAGCGCATACACCTGCGAGGCCTTGGATCGAGATATTGGCGCCTATGTGCCTCGGTTTTCCACGGTGACACCGCGGATTGTGGCCTTGGTCGGTCGACAGATGCTTCGTCCCACGGATTGTAGGACCTTCCATAATAGGATGGAAGCCTTTTGGAGTATATTGCCCAGACACTCCATGGGACTGCCATATATGCCTACATTGGGGTGGTTTGGGGGGGGTCAATGTAGGCATATATGCCATACATGGAGTGTTTGGGTATATATTGGCCACATATCTCCGGAAGTTTCGTAACGCCAAGTTCAACCAGTCAACCTGGGGATGGTCTGATCTACTCTCCATCCATTACCAGGATGTCCAGAAACCACCCTATCTCCGTGGTCCTGGTAATTGTGTGTTTATGCTTGTCCTTTTTTTTTTGGACCCCGGAGGATTCGCCGGTCAGCCGGTCAGAAGCAAGGACCCCGGGTGGATCTGCTGCGAGGGCTTAGCATGGCCCAGCCCAGTTGGGGAGGATTCTCCACCGTCACCAGAGCTGCACCTGAGGTGCAGAAGATTTCCGAGATCTCTGAGAGCGCGGCCAAGGAGCAGCTGGGCGAGAAGCATCTCCAGAGCTATATGTGTCCACCTCACAAACCGACTGTACCCCATCAAGGGGATATCCGTGCAAGGCCTTTTTGGGGGATTGGGGATGTTGCGCCACTGAGAACCTACAGATGGACAGTTCGGCTAACCCTTATTTTCCCAGGGATTTCCGGCTCCGGAGTCAGCAAATGACCAATAGTCACGATGGTCATGCCTGGTGAGTAGAATAGGCTTCCCAGCCAGACACCAGACACACCCCATCAAGTACTTGGGCCTTCGAGGACCGCGGAATCTTGAGACTTGATGTGTCCACCATGACTGGGTCATGACTGGGTTTCAGGCCTTGAATCTTCAAACGCCCATGGATGGCCCCGAATGAGAAGTTCCGCCCCCGGCAGGTCATGGCACCGTACCGTACGAGTGACCTACCGGACCTACCTAGCATCAGTCATTCGCTACATGGTGGGTTTTTGGCTCCAGGTGCTGTTTGACCATTTGACCCATGCCCATTTGAGGTATCAGATCGAGAGTGGCTTAGATCCTTGGAGTCGAACTCAACCACGCCGTGACACATCCTTGCGAGCGGTGGAATCGGCGGTGTGGCAGGAGGTGTTTGACCGATACGGGGTTCATTCCGCATGGAAGAACTGCAGGGTTCATATATATATAGATGTTCACATGCCTTGGACGCAGAATAAAGGAGAGAAGATCCCTGATTCATCCTGATTATATAGTTGTTGATAGTTGTTTTTCCCGTGCAGTGTAGTTAGTAATCAGGTGGCAAACAAGGAAGGTCTCGCGTCTCGCTTCTCCACTTTCAACGAGACCGTCGAGAAAGTATCCATTGGGGCGTTTGAGAGACTGGTCTTGCTTAGTAAATTCCCTTTTGGGGTGTCCTGGTTCCACAAGCAAGTCTATTCTTTGAGGGTTTGTTTTTGAAATCGAGAGCCCGATCATCCGGGTTGCGAAGCCAGACTCCGACCCCCCAAAATCTTCAAACATGTTCAGACCATGCTTGCCCATCTCTAAATATGATTGACACATCTGAGACCTTCCAGTTACGCTGCGCAAAGGAAATCAAATACGCTGCGTGGGCCAGGAAGTCATGTTCGGCAAAAAAAAGATCATCCGGATCCGTCAAGAACTCCAGAACGAGGAACCGGATCCGTCCGTCCGCTGAGGATGGGATGATCAAAGAATGGGAACCGGTCATCATGGAGTTCAAGGCCTCTTGGCTCTTCTTCAGCTCGTCTTGGGAACTGAAGGGCGACGGAGATGTTGGGTGTTGCTTTCTTATGTTTTTTGCATTTTCTCGGTGCATCGGATGCGCTTTTGGTTGATGGGTTTCAAGCGGCCACGGTTGTCCGATGTTGGGTTCTGAATGCGAGTGGGCGCTGGTAATCCGCACAATGGGTTGGGTGCAGGTCCTGCGACCGAAGAACATCACCATTTTAGAGAGAGAGAAACTTGCTACCGAATCATCCACTGGTAATTCATGGTATTGGCAGGATATACTCCCCAAACAATGGGCATGTCCAGAATCAAAGATCTTCCACAGCGGCATGGACAGCACTGAGCACTGGTGTGATTTCCAGTTGCCCTGGCTTTCAATCGGCCCCTCCCTTGGAAAACATCATCGCGCAGGCATGGTATGAGGTAAAAAGGGCATAGACCAATTGGTTGATAGATGGTTTCAGCATTTTTAGGGAATGTTCATGGAGCACCGGACTTCACTAACCATTTCAAACATGTTTGCATTTCCCGTGACCGTGACACTGGGCGATGGGCTGCAAAAGATATACTTTGTTTGGTGGGGGAACGTTTTCAGGCGAACCTCCCCCAACCAAATTAAAGCAACGCAACAAACAGGTGTCGATTTTGCTTACTTCTGCGTTGTTTGTGTCATGGTCTTGTTCTGCAAGTGGTGAACTTGCTGAATCTTGTTGCGCAATTTTTTCCGGCGAGATGGAAAAAGGGTCCAGGCTGCACAATGATGTGCTTATGTGATCTTATGTGCCTATATATACCTGAAGTATGATTTCTTGGATGCCGGTGGGTCGCGGGTGCATCTTGAAACCAACCCCGCCTGGCCGCGGGACGTGCGTTCAAGGATTGGGGCACCACTGGAACCTACATTGTGGCAGGCGCTTCCATTGATGAGGTCCAGCACTTTGGCTGATTTGGAGTTTTTTTAACCAGAAGTTCAACACCAAACGATGTGCAGAAGAATGGGCACATACACCTTCCCGGAAGACGAGTTGTTTCCAAATGACAAGTAGCCCATAGACCGACCGAAACTCGGGTTCTTCTATTGTGGTCCACTGGGTTGCTAAGCTTCGGAATGTCCGTGGGTATGGACAACCTGGAACGTCCAAAATCCGACATAGATAGCATTAGCATCGGCATCAGAGGTCCGATCAGTATATAATATAATGTTATTAAGTTCCCAACCACTCCATGTATGCCATATGTGCCGATCAGTTGGGGTGGTTTGGGGGGTCAATGGGGCGGCTTATATGGCAGTCCCATTAGTCGTGTTTGGGGTTGCTTCAGAGCTGCGGCTCTGGCACCCGCCTCACGCCGTTCAATGACACATTCCACATCCAACGACGTCCAACTTTGGGGTTCCACTTGTGCCATGTCACTATAGCTGGATCATCCCCTTGCCCAGAGCATCCTAGCTGGTAACCAGTGGTTCCAAAGACTAAAACCATAGACCGAACGAATCCCTGGTTCCTTATAGGTAACTGCCATGCACTGGGTTGGATATTGTTTTTATTTATTTGACTGTATGTCTTTTCCTGTGTCTTTTCCGAGGACCTTGCTGGACGATCATGTCATCAAGACTCAGACCATGAAGGGCTCGCCCTATGCGGCAGAGTTTAAGGAGGGGTGGTGGGGAAGTTCAGGTCGATTCATCAGAGAGAAGGCTGGTCAATGCACTTCAGATTCCATTTGCGGAAGTGTAGCCGCGTAGCCTGTTTGGAGGAAGGGCGCAAGCTTGCACATGCGCAAGCACCTTGCACCTAAGCGCTGAGATTCGATGCAATTCTTAAGAACAGTCGGTCCATTGAACATATTCAACATATCGATTAACATAAGCTCTCATCACCTGCAGAGGAATATGTTGATGGTCCCTGTTCGTCGTCGTATCCGTTACCTCATGGGACTTCCGACCAGACGGACCCCTGAGCGACGCATGAGCGACGCACGTGCCTTGGGGCCGTATTCGGACGCACCACGTCGATGTGTGTGGAGAGGACGCCCAGGGTGCCCCGGGCCCGGAGGAGTCCGAAAGTAGCCCCAAGCCTAGACCTCCAAGTACCTTCTGAGAAGGTGGGACTGAGGTGGGTTTGGAGGGTCCAAATACCTTCTGAGGAGGTACAACTGGAGGTCTAGGGGTTTTGGGTGTTTGACACCAAGTCCCGGCGGCCCGGCGGTCGTGTGTTCGTCTCGAACTCTTTCACGCCGCCGGACGTTCTGGCGGATGCCAAACGTGTTTCGCGTCGAGGAACCGGAGCGTCGAAACCTAATCGATTTGTTCAGGTGAATTGATTCCACGCACCGTCCGTGGGGAACAACACCTCAAGCCGTCTAGTTCAGCCTGATAGGGACCGAGCTGGAGCTGGAGATTCCGCGTTCAGGTCCTTTTCTTTAGGTCAGCAAGACTTCCTCTTGATGGGAAAGACACATTTTTAGCAACATGTTCTCTTGAAAGCCAATGTCAAGCCATTATATATATATATATGCTTACATTAATATCCCTAGGCCTCCAAGTACTTTCTGAGAAGGTGTTTGAGGTGGGCTTGGAGGGTCCAAATGCCTTTTGAGGAGGTACTTGGAGATGTAGGGTATATATGTCGTCAGGTTTCATCCTGCACCGAACCGCCAAGACCGAGCACGTGGCATGTATCAGGAGCGATTAGAGGACTGGGAGAAGTACCTGACAGGCGTCCAGGACATCGTGGATGTATGGTTGAAGGCAGGGAGGGTCCACACGTTCCAATTCGACCGCCCCGGCATGTCCGATGGTGCTCCCCTCGGTGAGTTTGGGTCTTGAAGTCCCAGATGCTGGGCGACCGAGAGGCTCCGAAAGAAACATTAGATTCGGGTCCTGGACCTCGAAAAAGTCTGGTCTACTCTACCCCAGTAAATCCAGGCAAACCACTATAGCAGCTTCACCAGTTCCAAAGACTTAAACCGTAGACCTACTGGAAACCTCCAATGAGTGTCCCATGGAGATCCTACAAGTAGTGCATGGTAGTCCATCGGAGAACCGTTGGATGGCCCTGGGTAGCCATTCAGAGCGGGACAGCTGGGAGACAGCGAAAAGGCTCGGCAGAGAGAGAGAGAGAGAGCTCTTGTTCGAAAAAGCTCTTGTCTGCGATCAACGGCTTTGTCAGGTGCAGGGCGTTTGGCTCTACCTGGAGCCAATCTTCTCCTCAGAGGAGTGGAGGGTGATGTCAGGTGATGTCGGCATGGCCCGAGTAGAAGAATTACATCCGGGAGGGGGCCCACATGGAACCTGATGGCATGGACCAGACTGGAAGACTGCTTTCCACAACCCAGTGGTTCTCAGGTTCTATGTTAATCTTCCAGGGTGTACGATGTTCGTTCCACGGCCGCTTTTTCTGCTTTCAACGCGGGAACAGGAAGGCGGTGGCAAACGACTCATGAATTCATCCTGGAACTGGCGAAGTGCGATGTTTGCACCATTGTAAGTATATAGCAGTTGCTCAGGGGGCATATCATATAACATTCCATCAGATTCCCCCCTTCAACCGGGAGTTCCTCATGCAACCCGACGAATCCGCCCAGGCTTAGGTAGCTACGGCTTAGCTCCGTAGCTGTTTGGAGCTCAGGACCCAAGAGACGCCAAAAAAGAACCAATAACACCACCGAATCCTTAGCTGGAATCCTGAAGCCTTTCTAGCTCAGGTGACCTGTTCTAAGCAAGTGGACTTCTTCACACATTAATTAGAAGACAGCCCGCAGTCTTCCTAGAAAACCTGCGCTCTTCCTTTGAGTCAGGTCAATGGGAAAAGAATTGGACAAGAAATGAGAATTTTGCAGTGTCCGCCTACCAAATGCTGCAGGCGTCCCAAAGGTGGTAAGTCTTCGGGATATTGTGATAAGTGTTGCAGGATTGTGTGGGAATAGTGCAGGATGCCCAGAACGCGAACCAAACGTGGCCGCAAAGTAAGCAGCTCAAGACTGCATGGGCGGCAAACTAGTGAGTATGGAGCAGACATTTTGAAGTGTGTGCAGGTAGATTTGCACGTTTTGATGTGGATTTGTGTAGGTGCAGTTGGGATTCCGCTTGGATGTGTTGCAGCTTCTTGCTGCACAGCCATTTGGGACACCATGGGTGAAGTGGTGCTCTTTGAAGCGGGGTTGTTGGCTCACCTTTGAGCATTGCACTGGATCCAAACCCTTTATGTATGTTTATCCTGTGAGGCTCACTGTGAGGGGTCTCGGAATTTTGGCCTGAAAGTTGGCTGGTTTGCTTCAAATTTGACAACTGTGAAAGATTTGAAACACATCGTTGAGAAGAGAAGACACCTGAGCAGGAGACATCACACCCAACTCACACAGCCCGACCCCCTCCGCCACATGTCCAATCCCTACACCGACCCGTCGTACCTCCTCAGGTTCGCTATGACTGGACCCTCCTGGCACCCACCCCAGTCCCAGAAGGTACAACTGGAGGCCTAGGGAATGAGGTCCACCAGGGTCGCGTCTGGGTCTCTTTGCCAGGACATCATGCAGCAGATGCCCACCGAGGGTCGCCTCTTCCGCGAGGTCGACGGCACCTGGCGTCAGATCATGGGCTCCTGTGTGGCGGCGCCCAAGGCTTTGGAGGCCGGCCGGGAGTAAAACGCCTGTGAAGACGAGTGTTTCGTGGTGAGGATGGTGGTGAGTCCTTTTGGAGTGAATTCCTGGTGGGTGGGTGGATGAATTGAATTCCTGTACCCCTTGTCTTACAAAATGGTCAGAGATGACGAGAGATGGTCAGTTGCTTCTCGTTGCCCTCCACCGCCGGACAAACCGTAGTGAAACGGGACACACTTGGTGATTGACGAGGCGTTGTCCGGTATGGACATCCCTGTTCAGAGTACTCTTGCCGCAACAGAGCGCCTCCAGTCCATGTGAGGATAAGTACCAGTTAGTGTACCAGTTTCTGATGTCCAGGAATGATCACTCCAAGTACCTTCTCAGAAGGTATTTGGACTCCCTAGGCCCACCCTAAACACCTCAGAAGGTGCTTGGAGGCCTGGGGGATAGGACACAGATTTGATATGGGGGTTGCTGGAGCCAAACCTGTATGACATATGCATTGGATGGAAAATGCATAGCTAGCAGCTAGTGTCCATAAACCACCCTTTCCGTGGTCCTGGTGGTTGCCTCACTGGCTTTTGTCTCACCCAATTTGCTGACGTTGGGAGAGGATACTATTTACTGTAGTATGAACAGTATGTCACAGACACATTGTGAATGAGGATAGGCAAGTGTCTACTGACTGATTGCAAAAAATATTTTTGTTGGATCCAAGTGTCTCAGATGTTGTGTTGTGGAAAGAGAATGACGGAGAAAGGTTGTGCGCAATCAACATGCAATTGTCAAGAGAATTTGAGGGTTTGGTGAAGCCATGTCCGTTTTTTGCAATGAACCTATACATGATTAAATTCAGATCTGGTGGATTCCTGTAAGTGGGCTCAAGAGAATAACTTATAAATTACTTCAACCATGACTCGGCTTGTTCTTTTTTTGGGGCCGCGGACTGCAGAGGTCTTCAGACAAGATAGCTTCCTGGAGAACCTCCAGGCTGCCAACGACAAGCTGGAAACCATGCAGAAGGGACTCTTGGCGAAAACCCGCAACGAGTAAGCATGCTTGGCGAACCAATTGTAATCATGCAGCATGCACAGTGACCGGCACACGGTCACTATCGGTCACTGGTTTGTAGAGGAAAATTGTTTTCTCCGGCCCGGACTTTTCTTTCAGATGCGATGCGTGCCCTCCGCTATTCAGAGGATGGCTGCTGATCCCTGCTGATCCTTGAAACTCATGAACTACTCATACGTAGACACATCAACTCCAATGAATGCTTGGAAGCAGCCCCTCAGCTTATCTCAGATCTCAGCTAGACCGGACATTAACCCCATTCTGAGGACGATGGTCGAAACCACGGGTCAATTCTCAGGTTCCATGTAGTATGCCCCGCAGAACATGGACCAAACATGAGTTTGAATATAGAAAGCAGCTGAGCAACAAGTGCATGAACTTGAGAGAGCATCCCTCAAGGGACAACGATTATATTATATAATGGCTGAATGGTACAGTCTTCTTGAGTAGTTTTGTGTTCTAGTCGTTTGATGTCTTTTCTCCGGATGTCAAGCACGCTGCGTCGGCTCAGCTCTCCTCGGCGAGCCGAACCACCGACCGAACCGGCGGCGTGAGACCGAGCCCTGCGGGATCAGCTGGGTCGTGGTCGTGGGGCTCAGGACTGAATGATTACCTCGAGACCAAGAGGCTTTTCTTCCCTCGTTTCTTCTTCCTGTCCAACGACAACTTGCTGGAGATTTTGAGTCACCTGGCTTCTATCCGAAACGTGGATCCGCGAGCTATGGAGGTTCTCCAAAGCTGCGGAGATCTTCTCAGGTATGACGTAGTTTGGTTTTCTTGTTTATTTTTTGAAGGTAGCCGGACAACCCTCATTGCTGGAATATGTCTAAAACCTTCGAACCCACCACCCCTGTGGTCGTCAAACGGCATGAACAGCTCGACTACAAGGACGGAAGCCGTGCTGATAGAACATTCCTGAGCACGGCTCGCACCACTTGACGAGAACTGGTGATAGTGATGGTGTGTTTTCATGCTTAGCTCTTACTAAAGAGCTGGGACATTTGCTGATTTTCCTTGTAGAGAAGACGAGAAGACTCTCCTTCTTCTTGTTATTCAAGTAAATCCTGGGATGAGCTACAGCAACATCGCCAGGTTGATGGCGTTCAGGTGTGCCCAAGACTTCAATCCACACTCTCATACTGCATGAACTTAGCAGGGGTAAGAATGGTATGTATGTTAAATAGAGCAAAGGATCACAAGCTTACCCAAACAAAAGGTGCAATGTTTGAAAGGTTCAGTTCCCTGAGCTGTTGCATTTGCAGAGTTTTTGCTTCAGTGCATCATTCTCGCGGCAGCTACGAGCATTATGAGTGCCGTGACTAGGATCAATTAGTTGAGCTCCTCTCTTGAACCACCCTTTCAAGGCACATCACATGACACAAAATTCCAGGAAGGTCCTGGATTTCATCTTTCCATCGACCTAGGCGAGACGAAGGATCCCAAGCGTGTGAATGCGCATGTGAAGAAGTGCTTCGAAGGAACCTTGGACGTCCACAGACACTGAGCGAGCGAAGCAACGCTGACCGCTGACGTAGTGCTGACACAACATGAGCCTCCCAGTGAAGAGGAACATGAGTGCACATTGAGACATTCATCCTTTGGTCCAAATAATCTCAAGTTCCCATGATATACATTGAAGATCATTGAAGATAGTATTGAGGATCCATGTTCTTTTTTGGATGCACTCTTTGCCAGGCATGCAGAGCCTCCAATTCGAGGAGAACCTCAACATCTCCGGCATGGTGTCACCCGAGAAGGAGCCCCCGGGCTCGTTTTCTTTTGACACCACCCGAGCCACCGCGGCACTCCAGGTACTCGTCCCTTCGGGCACCGGGTCGGGTGCCCGCGGCATCGGGTCCGAACGCGAACGGTTCCGGTGCCGGCATCGCAGCGAACGGAGCATTCGTACCTCGCGAACGGAGGGGAAGGAGGTGTAGGGAGCTCCACAGGTGACGTGAGGTGACCGATCTCTCGGAAGAAGCGGAGCGACTGCGAGCAGGAAGTGGTTCCCATGACCACCTATGTCGACCCGGTGGCTGCGAATGGAGCGGTGGAGAAGTGGCTGGTACAAGTGGAAGATGCCATGTGACTCGGAATATTTTGTTGAGTTGTTGTATGTTTTTGTTTGGTGCTGTTTGGGCGGGATGAAGGGAACCAGGTGGGTGATTTAAGTTTTTGTTAAGCAGCTTGGCTGAAGTGTGGTCATCAGTTTTAGGGGTATTCGAAGATATTCGAAGAGGTCGGACTCCTACTTCAGTGTGTTTTCCCCTGTCGTTCCAAGTATGTTTTTTTTTGGCACGGTTCGGCCCCAAAGAAGTCCGACAAACCAATCCTGGGAGATGCAGCGATGGAGGTTGTGGCCTTGGCAGACGATGTGAACATCGGGTGACACAGTTTTGGGTTCCAAGGTTTCGTGGTGTCAAACTGTCAACTCTTTCAGTCAACAACATACACTCCCGAAACAAACATGGAAGTGGACAATCCCCTGTTGGTAGTGGAAAATCGCGTTCCAGGAGGCCAGGACGTCCACTTTCATGATTGTTGGAGGGAGGGTAGATAATTCCCTACACCTCCAAGTACCTCCTCAGAAGGTATTTGGACCCTCCAAACCCACCCCAAACACCTTCTCAGAAGGTACTTGGAGGTCTAGGGATTATTAGGCTTTAATTTCAAAGACAAAAACATCGACCCCATAGGTCAGTTCCAGAACAAGAGGCCGGACCATGCCAACTTGGGGGCCCTTGGGGTTCTGCAGCAAATCCGTGCATGCCCCATGGGCTACTGGCGTTTGTCCAATCCAAGTCCGGCTTTCGCGCGGGTTTTTTTCATCGCGAAATCCCCAAGGTTGGAGTCCATCCGCGATCAGTCTTTTCAGCCTCTTGGGCATCCGCCCGTCCGCCAGTTCATTGGCGTTTGCCCGCTAGGCATGGACGTGTTGCGTGTTTGCTTATTTTTTGGGTTAACCGGTGTGACGGTGAAACAACAAAAAGACATCAAAAGGGATTTGCCGAAGGCCGGCCTGGCATGAATGGTGTGTTTGAACATGTTTGGAAAATATTTGTGGTGCCGAGAAACAACCTCTCTCCTCCTTCCCTGTTCCGCGGGAAGATTGGCCCTACTACTTCATGATGACCTGTGGGAAAGTATAATTGAAGAACCATACAGTGACTGAATGGTTCGTTCAGGGTTCCTGAATGTGAGGAGTTTTGTTGCAAGAGGGATTGATTGATTACTGTATGGGTGTGTTTGTCACTGGATTTGCATACGTCGAGAAAACTCGACAGGAACACGACCGTGCTCGTTGGAGATAGGCATGTGCAGGACCTAGCAATCATGCAAAGCTGACTTGAGGAGTAAACACAGCAAGTATATACACATACGATATACCTGGGCCATCCCGTTTGGGTGTCCAATGGAGATCCCCCTGGCACCACCCCAACTGATCGGCATATATGGCAGTCCCATGGAGTGTTTTGGGTATGTCGTTCCTGGCCTTCTTTGCGCGCACCACATGAGCTCACTGAGGTCCCGCGATGACTACGTCAACACGAGTTCCTCGGCAGAAACTGTTTGAGCGAGTACGGGAGTCACATGGACTTTGCCAGATGAATTGAACCAGTACGTATACATATAGCTCAGGTGGCTTGCGTGGCCTCGATTTTGTTGGCAGCCCAAGTAGTTCCATAAGCATGAATGCTTGGAAAACGGTGAACATCCTGTCCTCCCACCCAGATTCCGACCCCAGAGGCTTCCGTTTTTGACGGACTCACGGACGCGAGTCTGAGGCTTTGTGGACTGGGTTCAGAAGTGGCCAGGGCAAGTGGTCATTGGCATTTTCAACTTGTTCTGGACCGCCGAGGTGAATCAGGCAGGTTTCAGCCAGCCCGTTCAGCTGCATGAGACCCTCAGAGAGCGAAGTGCAGAAGTTGCTGCAAGCTGATCCCCACAAAACAAGATTATACAAGGACAGGTGACAGGTGGAAAAGAATTACATATTATAACAATATATAACACTATAAATATGTATATATATGATTATATATTATATGCATTCTGCATCCTTTTTCCCGGGAAAAAAACCGAGGGGTTCAGCTTTGGGTGCAGTGAGTTGCAGTGCACCATCAACCCAGCGGTTCGGAGGAGGTCTTGAGACTAGGGTCATGTCCAGCAGGGGCCCCACAAACATCCACAAACCATGAATCAAAGACTCCTGTTTTTCCTTCGGCAAGCATGATTTTAGTACGTGAGTACTTTCTATGTTTCATAGAGCTTGAGGGCCTCTGGTAAGGGTTCATGGAAGAGGATGATACATCACATCTTCCATAAGAAACCTTGGACTGGTGACATTTCAGCCCACATAGTAGGACCAACCAACATGATTGCACCGGGGAATGTGGTCCCCAAGCCCCGAGGAGTTGTCCAGCTCCGGATGTATGGCCACACAACTATGTGGGAAGAACATTCTCACCACCATGAGCTGCAACGCAATTGTTCACCCTGCAGAGGTCTAGTGGAACCCCCCAAAACCAATTCCACTGTATTCCAAGGGTTGGGATCATCCGCGGGGAGGGACCTCAGTACCTTGACGGATCGTGCTGCGTTCAGGCGTTGACGGAGCACGGCAACGCCGGGCTGGTGGAGTATGCCACCAAGTTGGACAATACGTTGACGGAGATCGTCAGCACGGCTGCAAGAAGATGGCTCAGAAGATCCAACACATCAAAATGATGCTGGTGGTCATGATGTACACATTCACTATGCTCATGGTTCATGAGAATTAGCGTCCACGTGATCAATACATCATGAAGGGAACAGATTCGAGCTGACGGACTAATGTACACGCAACATGACATGATGCTGAACCGCATGGTGCAGAACCACATTCACCAAATGTAAAGCATCTTGCCTTTGGGTGATCGACCAGGTTTCCACCAGACCGTTGGCACTTGCCTCGACGTTGAGGTGAATTTGGTGCGGCGCGAGATCCCCAAGCTGGTGCGATGTACGTTGGAAGCGCTCATCGTGCCGTGGAAGAAGAAGTACCCTCCCCTCCGAACACGACACATTCGGGTACGTGGAGCTACCCACCAAAGGAAAAGGATCTTCCAGGGCATTCGAGGGGCCCATGTTCCATCATTTTCAACTTCGCATGTTGGTGAGTCAGGGGGGTGCTCGGCCCGGAAGGCACGAGAGAGAACCCGGATGGAACGAGAGGGGCGTTTGGCTTGGGTCTTTTTGGATGGGTGCTGATTTAAACAATGAGATCTCCTGTTCTCCCAAACATGCGCATCCAGAGAGCTATGAGGTTCTCGCATGTCTCATCCCAGACCATCGATGTATGAAATATAGTTGGCTTAATATGATTATATGGGGTAATGTTAAAATCACCCTAAGAATCCTTGGGTGGTCCATGGCAGCCTCCTAGTTAACCCTATTTTACCGTTCGGGCCCGGCATGGCACAATCATCCACCAGCCGTGATCCGATCGCACCAGGTGAGAAGGAACCACCCGGCTTTTCTTGGCTAGCCAGTTCACTGAGTTAAACAAGAAAGACATTTATTGAACCCTGCTGAGCTAGGGATACTTATATAGTCACATATACTTAGCTTATATATATATATGTACATATCATATTAGAGTCATATGATGCATACAATGGGAAAAAAAGGGGCTCATATATGGAGGGCATTTTGGACTTCATATGTTTTGCTAAGTACGTCAATCCCAAGAGACCAGAGGCCCTTGAAGCTTCGGATATCCCTTCGGTGCTGCGGTGCTCGTCGGGTGGTGAGCTAGAAGCCGGTCAGACCGGCGTCATGATGCGAGGCTCCTGATGGGAGGGTTAGGTTGAAATACTGACTATATCAGAGACTGTATAGTTGGGAGTTGGGATATGTTAACTTACATTATTTACTGTAAATAATTTTATTAGGAAGGCTTTTGTTGATAGGAGCTCCATGGCAGTTTGTCCACTGGTCGAGATTCGTCGCATTCGTCAGGTGATCTTTGTCCACAACAAGGCATGGACTGACTATAAGGGGGCTTTGTCGTTTACAAGTGAACCATGATCATGTATACTGAAAGAACGTCACTTGGGTTATACCCTCATCATGTCAGAAGTTCACCCTCACGATAAAATTGCAAGGGTGGCAGTGGGGGTAGCTGACCCAACTCGAGATCTCGGAATGAGGTCACGATTCGGTGGTCCCCCACTCACAGAGACGCCAAAGAGGTCACAGCGCACCAGGTCCTGGGCCCTGGGTCCTGGAAGGTCCTGGCAGCGACACATGTGACTGGTACATCGGTACATAAAGCTCCTTTGATTGCGCCTTTGTCTTGGATCTCGGGCGCCTTCGTGTGGACACGAGACGTGTCACCAGAAACTGGATCGATGCCAGGACACCATCGTGGAATTACGAGATCGTGGCACCTGCGAGGTCTCCGATTTCGATTGGTTGGTGCAGTGCCTGGTCTCGACCGCTTTTGGCTGCGTTTGTGGTTCTTTTCTCCGAACCAGGGGAAAAAAACCATTAAACATATACCCGTTTGGCCTCCAGTTGTACCTCCTCAGAAGGTATGACTGGACCCGAACATTGCACCCACCCCAGTCCCACCTTCTCAGAAGGTACTTGGAGGCCTAGGGTATAGGTTTCAAAGCCCAAGCTGCCGTCGGATGTGGCTAAAGTACCACGGCCTGGAGGGTGGACGGGTGTGTGTGTGTGTGATTGCTTCGTTTTTGCATGTGTTTGCCCCATGAGATTGGACGATTTGGATGGGTAGCCCAGTTCTTGGAGTGCCAAACATCTACCAAACATGCACATCTTCGGGGAAACGCTCGGGCGAAGTACCGCACGAGGTCCAAACGCCCATGCTTTGTTTTGGTCCGGCAACAAGCCGCCTGCTTGGCGCCGCGTGCTTTGCGCCGGAGCCATGACCTGGTTTTGCAGATCAGGTGGTTCCTTATCCCTACACCTACAGTCGTACCTCCTCAGGTTCGGTATGACTGGACCCGACGTTTTGGCACCCACCCAGCCCAGTCCCACCTTCGAAACGAAGGCACGACTGGAGGCCGCAAGTCCAAGTCAATGGCTGAGGCTGCGATACTTCATTGAGGAGAATCCCGAGAAGCCAGGTGAGAAAACTAATTAAGAACGATCCAGCTGCCCAGATCTGTCCAGCTGCTTTGAATCAGGAGGATGGATGTGGCATAACAGCTAGATTTCACGCGCTTTTTCACCATCATAGAGATCTAAAACTAAAACTATACTGTAGTTTTTTCGGGCCTAGTGAGAAGAACCTGTCCGGTCCCACTGCTTGTCAGGCCAAGAGGACATTTTTGTGCGCATCACCAATAGCCACTTGGGAGACCTGGCTGTGATTATTCAGCCTTTGGATCATTGGACTCGGGCCGGAGCACCACAGGACTTCACTTTGGGGTTCATGATTCGGCCCAGAGAAACTCAATCTCAGTCAGTATCTAAAGCTGAAGCTGGAGGAGGTTGCGCAACAATCTCGAGAATATTGTTCCATGAGTTACAATTACTAGAATCTTCAGAGTTTTGACCCCTGGCTGCGCATTTTCTTCGTGCTCTTCCGGAGACATGATTTGCTGCTTTTGGGACTCCAATGGATGGACAGGGCGTTTAAACCTGAAGCAATCCTGGAGCCAAAATAAGCAGCTTAATATATAGTGGACTATAGTGGCATGCATATTCCAAGCCAATGGAATTCTTCTGTCTCCACTCATCTACCGAAACTGCAGAAGTTCGCCCCGATGTTTGCCGAGTTCTTTTGGCCCAGGCTATGCCTACGAATACCTGGGCAACTGTGGGAGACTGGTCGTCACCCCTCTCACGGACCGCTGCTACCGTGCCTCGGACCAAACGGGCTACCGAACGAACCGGCAGCCGTACCCAATGGGTTCCTCCAGTCGTAGCTCCTCAGGTTCGGGATGTCTCCCGTTTGGGCCGGTGGGTGCGAGGGGGGAGGACCAGGAGCCCTATAGGGTCTTCGGAGCGCACCCGGGCCCCGAAGCGAAACGAAGGTACGAGTACCTGGAGCCCAAACGGGTTAGAATACAGTATCCCTATAGGCCTCCAGTCGTACCTTCTGGGAAGGTGGGACTGGGGTGGGTGCCAGGAGGGTCCAAATACCTTCTGAGGAGGTACGACTGGAGGTGTAGGGTATGTTTCCATCATGGTCCAGGTGTGTTCTACAAAGGCAGCACATGGACTTGGAACTTCTGCTGGTCTTCTACAAACCCGAATGGGTGAGAAATCCCGCCGATGATTCTTCCTTAGCCACCCTACCCCCTATGTTTTTGGTATTGCTGATGACGAAAGAATACAATCAATGATTTTCGCTGGATACCCTAGACATATCTAGACATCCAACCTCATCCTCAGAAGGTGGTTAGACCGGCACCCTGTTTGAAACGGAAGTTCTTCGACTGGATCAGTGGCCTCCCAACGCAGCAAGACCTGCCACGTGTTGCTGTGTCCGAACATTTGGGGCGTCTCCCCTCGCTGGAACAAATCCGTCAGCAAATTGTCAACGGCTTGGACCTTCCTAATCTTGATGGTTGATTCTACATCGCCCCCCAAGTTGAACATAATATGAAACAATATTATGAAGCAACTCACTAAAAACCTCCTCAATCAGATCTTCCGATCTCCCCACATCCTTCCTACCTTCAACATTCTCTCCCCACATCCTTGAAAACTCCTCACCTCTCGCCACATCCCACCTCACACCCCTGCGGTCAACACATCCACACCCTCACCGCCCCTGGCGCTCGCGCCACCGAGGCACCTGCTGCGGTGCCCTGCATTTGCTCTACGGCGCGGCGCCCGAAGGCCCCGCTGGCACCGGCAAGACGGAGACGGTGAAGGACTTGGCCAAGGCGCGGTCGGTGCCGGTCGGTGCCGGTCGGACCGGGC